CACAGCATCACAGCTCACAGCAACCTCAAACTCTTGGGCTTAAGCAATTCTCTTGCCTCAGCCTCCCAAGTAGCTGGGACTACAGGCACCCACCCCAGCACCCCGCTATTTTTTTGTTGCAGTTGTCATTGTTGTTTAGCTGTCCTGAGGCAGGTTTGAACCCGCCAGCCTGGGTGTATGTGGCAAGTGCCATAACCACTGTGCTACAGGAGCCAAGCCTCATGATCTAAAAATCTTTATAAACATTCTAATTCTTTCTTGAAGGGAGATAGCTGTGGAGTAGGGGAAGAGGTCCTCAATTATAAATTTGAGCATACAGAGTAACTGGGTTGGAATCCTGATTCTACTACTAGCTATTTGACACTGGGCAACTTACTTCATTTGTGAAACAGAAATATTATCATCTACTTGGTAGGACTGTGAGGATTACATGAGATAACACATATAAAGTACTTAGTACAGTGCCTCATATATAGTAAACAGTAAACCTTAGCAGCTATTATTATTACTAGAAGTACATGATTGATTTTATTTATCAAAACCCTGGCTCCAACATAGCTGGGTAACTTTGGGCAAGTTACTAACCTCTCTGTGTCTCATTTTCATCACCTGTAAATGGGAATAGTAATATTAGCACCTACCTCCTGGGATTATTATGATTTGTTAATACACATTAAATTGTTAATACCTATGTTTATGTGCTAATGTGTTAATACATATAAAATTGTTAGTACAGTATTATCTATTACATTAGGTCCCAAGCACTCTAGAAAAAAAAGTTGAACATACAGCCATCCCTCTGTATCCAGGGGTTCCGCATCTGGATTCAACCAACCATGGATTAAAAATATTCAGGAAAAAAAAATGCATACATGCATCTATACTAAACATGAACAGGCTTTTTTTTTTTTTTTGAGACAGATTCTCAAGCTGTTATCCTGGGTAGTACTGTGGCATCACAGCTCACAGCAACCTCAAACTCTTGGGCGGAAGTGATTCTCTTCCCTCAGCCTCCCAAGTAGCTGGGACTAAAGGCATCCGCCACAATGCTCGGGTATTTTTTTGTGGCAGTTGTCATTGTTGTTTTAGCTGGCCCGGGCTGGGTTCAAACCCACCAGCTTCAGTATATGTGGCCGGCACCCTACCCACGGAGCTACAGGCACCGCCTGAATAGGCTTTTTTATTCTTGTCATTCCCCAAATAACACGGCATAGCCACTATTTAAATAGTATTCTCACCGGATTAAATGTTATAAATAACCTAGAGATGACTTAATGTATTATATATGCGAGAATGTGTATAGGTTACACACAAATACGACACCATTTTATATCGACTTAACCATCTGAGGATTTTGGTATCTGAGGGGAGTCCTAGAACTAACCCCCAACAGATGTTCAGAGATGACTATATAGTTAATTTAATTCAACACTGTACATATCAACGTACTATTACATGGACATTGTATTTGTAAGATGCAATTTGGGTAATCACCAATTCCTACTCTCAAAAGTTTAGACGAGAGACAAAATGGTCCACATGCCTACACTGTCTACTAAAAGCAGTAAGCCATATGAACAAAGTTATCTAGATAGACACATACATACACACGCGTGATTATATGTATGTGTATATAGAGATGTATATACCTCTATATAAAAGTCTCATTTACACAAATATATAAACACATGGTTAAATGAACACACAGTCCATGAAGGAATAATATTTGCATTTTTTATGAATTTGGACCTCCCCCCGCCCCGTACTCTGATTCTATTTATTCAACAAACGTTTAGCATGCTTGCTGAGTAGCAGATGGAACACTGGATACCAGAAATACAAAGATAGATCAGGCTGCCCCCTACCTTTAAAAAACTCAATTTAATGCAGGACTATTAGAGTCAAAAAAAAAAAAGAAACGCCAGGTACAGAAGCCCATCTCAAAAGCCCTTTCCCCAAATGAACCAAATGAACCTTCCCAGAGAAGAGTCCACACATTACCTTAGACCATCTGGGAGACCTTCCTCTGACTTGGAAGCACATAAACTAGAAGATGAGTCTGGAGGACTGGAGGCATTGGCCACAACACCAGCTACCTCAGATGCCGCCATCGTGTTCTGTACATTCAGAAAGAAATGACAGACTACACGTTTTCAAAAGTTTAAAATAAATGTATCTTTCCCCCTCAAAATGTCTTCACAATAGAACTGTCCCAGGAAAGAAACTCAAAGAAAAACTTGGGCGTTCAGAACATACTAAAGAGTATTCTATAGTAGGGTACGAGTATTAAAAGAGCTATTGCATCCGATAGATCCCAGTGGGCATCAATCCTCAGGAGTCACCACATTTATATAAATACCTAAGATTCTGTGCAAAGATTTTATTTTCACTTTTGGCAGAAATGCAGTCATTTAAAATAGATTGTAGTCTGTGAGACAATGGTCCGCATGCCTACACTTGTCTACTATCATTTATAAAAGATGAATCTTTTGGCCTAGTAGTTATAATATCTTATGCCTTTAAATCATTTTATGGCTGTTACTGTCAAAGCATCCTCCATTAAAGTGAAGCTTTTTGGAGGTGTCCGCATGTGAGAGAACGAGTACAGAGCAACGCTAGTGTGTATCTTCAGCTCTGTCGGTATGTTCGTCCCAGATGGGAAAAGCCTGATACCCACGGACTGCGGAAAGTACAGACTCTTTGGAGTTACAGCGGCATAAACAAGGCTGAATCCTCGTTACTCTAGCATGAAATGAGAAAACGGTAACAAGAAAGGGACCCCCCCTCCCACAGATGCTTTTGTTGTTTCTTAGATCAGAGGGTCATCCTTTATGCTACAGAACAAACTCATAACCTTCTACGGTGAGAATAAAAAAGAGAAAAACAACTTGGGAGGTGTGGGGCGGGTAAACGTAGGGTTAGTTTACATTCTTGTTTTTATTTTAACAGCATCACAGGTAGACCCGTGAACCCTGCACCATGCATGGGGCGAATACGAAGACGGGGCTGGTGTCAACGAACGCTTCAGTCACAGCCCACAGACCCTCTCGTGAATCCGCTTGCCTCATTATACAAAGCTCCCGAGAGAAAACGGCCCCAAATCGCCATTATTGTTCCCTCAGGTGCAAACATCCTGTCCCCAACACAGCCCGGGCCTGGAGTCCTGGGGGCCCTGCGCACGGAACCACAGAGCCAGGGTCAGACATGCAACTCCGCGGCCAGAGAGCCCAAGGCAGAGGGCAGGTACATCTGGCTGCAAAGTAGCGAATGCCAAGGGAACCCTGCACCGCGACAGGCAGCACCAGCGCGGCGGCGACGCCGGGAGAGGAGTCCTCGGGAGAGAACAGGGGACAGACGGAAGGGGACAATGGGGGGAAGCAGCGCCGGGTGGCCGCCGTCACCCTCAACAGGGGACTGCTCAGCAGGCCGCTCGCTCGGGCCGGAGCCCCCTCTACATCTTCCCCTCGGCCCCTCACCCCACTGCCAGCCCCCGTCCCACTTCTAGGCCAGGACCCCCGTCCCCGTCCTCAGCACCCTCCACGCCCCCCGCTCGGACCCCCGCCCCCGCCCCTCGCCTTGCAGCCCCCTCCCCGCGCGCGCCCCGCACACACCTCCCGCGCCGCGCCCCCGGGAGGATGGGGGGAGGGACGGGACGCACCTGAGCGGGCGGAGCGGGGGGAGGGGGCGGCCGAGCTACGGGGGGGAGGGGTCGAGCGCCGGCCCGCGCGCGACACCTCCCACTTCCGGCGACACGAGCAGAGGGGGCGAGGTTCGCTCGGCGAGAGGAGAGGCCGCGGTGGCGCCGCGCCGCCCCCGACGGCGCCCTCTGGCGGCGAGAGCCGGCGCCGCCCGAGACACGAGGATGCTGCGGAAGACCCCCGAGATCCGAGAGGGTTCTTCAGGGGCGCAGGGAAGAAGAGCGATCCGACCGCGAGAAGCAAAGCGGCCTGGTAGGGGCAGCAGCCCCTCTGGGGAGGTTTCAGAGAGATCTGGGGCCATGGCGGTCAGAGGGAGAAGAGCAACGAGCTGTTTTTAAAGGTCGGCACCAAGATGCCCTTTTCAGAGGACGCCATGAAGAAGAAGAACCCTGCGGGAGGGACCCTGTTGAAGCTGTCCCGAGGCTTCGGGACGGTGGCGCCCCGCCAGTTAAGCCCGCCACGCCCGCACGCCCTGTGCCCACGGAGGCCGCCCGCGGGAGCCGGCCCCCGGCGCGGGTTGCTCGAGCCCGTCGGGACGGCCCGGGCCTGCGGGGCCCGCCGCTGATTGGCTGCGCCTCCGGGGCGGAAGTGATGCCGCTGTCACTAGCTGCTCCGGCTCCCGGGAAGCCGCGAGTTTCCGCAGGGAGGCGGCGGCAGCTGCGGCCGGGCGGGTGAGTTGGGAACTAGGTGCGGGCTGAACATTGGAAGTCCAGGTGGCCCAGAGCTGGGAGAAGCCGGCGTCTGAGGATAAGGGAGCTAAACAGAAGTAGCCTTCGGTCCTGGCGTGGGGGAACCCAGGGGTACGGGGCCTCGAGGTCTTGGATTCCAGGATAGCATGAGTGCTAATGAGGAGGGGGGCATGCCGCACGGAGCAATACGAGGTCGTGGGAGGGTGGGATCAGTGAAACTGACCCCTGTTGTAACATGGTTTCTAGGAGCTGGGTTTACAGCGAGGAGGACAGTCGCCTGAAACAGAATCTTAGACTGCGGGCTGCCCATACTCTTCTTCTTTGACCGCTAAGAGGTGTAAAGATAGGCCCAGCGCTTAGGAGAGGTCGAGATCTGCTTTCAGAACGAGTTTAGGGTCCCTGCCTCAGAAACCTGAGAATAACAGTGCTGTCCTGCCGCTGGGAGACAGGACGAGCTCAGGCTTCTCCTTCTTCCGGAAATCTGTGGTGGGGTTTTCTGAGACTAGAGGAGCCTCCTTAGATGGGTCACTATCTGGCTATCTAACAGGATTTTTTTTTTCTTAGTAGAGTATGCAGGCTTGGGAAGACACCCAAATACCTTGGGGAAATCGATGCTACGGCAGGGGTTGGAGGGCATCAGGCAGAGATTTGAGAGGGACTATGCCTGGGTACCTAAGAGGAAAAGAAAGAGGGATGGAATGGAGATTGTGGCATAAGTTCTCCTCTCCCTTTACACTGAGTCTTCAGTAAAGCTACCGTTTTTTTGGACTACTTTGAGTTGGATATGTTGGGGTGTGTATCTCAGTACTAAGCCCTGCCCCCAGGACGAACTCAGTAGAGAGCAGAAGCTTGTAAAAGAACCAGCCACCCATAGGTTCACACATGTTCTGCCACCCCCTTCACCTGTCACAGTTGCCAACTGGTTCTAATTTGGCCGTTCTTTGAGGACTCATAAGCGGAGTCCCTGGTTCTGTCAAACCTAGGCAATTGGAAACTGAGCCCTCCTTCAAACCAAGCTGCTGAGCTGGTTGCAGGGGTAGTTCCTTAGTGCTGTTTTCCATTTGTTCTCTCCTGCTTGCCTGCTTGTCCTTGATGCCTGTTCAGTTTCATTTGTATTCTCTTGCTTTCCCTCTGCCTCCTGACTATTCCTCACTTCCCCTAATATCCTTGGAAGATGCACAAATCAGAAAGTCACCTACCTGGCTTGGCACTCGTAGCACAGTGGTTAGGGCGCCAGCCACATACACCGAGGCTGTGGGTTCAAACCCAGCCAGGAGCAGCTAAGCAACAATGACAGCTGTGACAGAAAAATAGTCCTGCGCTGTGGCGGGCGCCTGTAGTCCCAGCTACTTGAGAGGCTGGGGCAAGAGAATTGCTTAAACCCAAGAGTTGAGGGTGACTTAGTAACACTCCGTCTCAAAAAAAAAAAAAAAGGAAAGAAAGTTACCTACCTGCTGGACTTCTAGAAAGTGTGTTACTTTCTCAGGAGGTATTTTTGTAACAGTTAAGTCCTCTACTAGGCCTCTAGAGGGAATAATGAAACAAGGGTGGCATGATAGCACCAGCAGTGGGGTTTCTGGAATTTATACTGATTTGGCCTCATGAAACCAGTTCTGTTCTGGTCTCTGATCTATTTTAGATCCCTGGAAATGACACTTGATCAGGTTTCTTTGGTCACTGGTATGGAGTTCATCTAGCCTCTGCTTGTTCCACTGGATTTGGTGGGACACTGTTTCTCCTGTTCTTGGCCCCCCTAGGTCTGTAGCCTGTGCTGAGTCAACACTTACAGTGACAGTGATGCCTTTTCCCCGTTTGCATAAGATGAGTGTCACGTGGGTAGCCAGACCAGGAGCTCAACTTCCTATAGAGTCCAGGTGGGAATGGGGCCCCACTGTGGGGAGTTAATCCTGAGGACAACTGCGCTGAGGAATCTGGGGAGAAAGATTTATGTCCCCTCTATAGGGGGAGGGATTCTCTCCTAAAGAACAATCATATGCTACCAGTAGTTTGTGGGAGTGATATGCAGTGTGAACCGTGTACATGGCGTCTGTGAGCTAAACCAGATGCTAGATGATCTGGTGTAATGGAGATTAGGCCCATCAAGTTGTGGGAGGTTACCCACTGGGGTTAGTACTGGCCCATACTCCATCTGAGGGCTTATTCCTATTGGTCAGGGATAAATGTGAACAAAAAGAAAAGATCAAACGCTCAGTAATTTAAAAGGAGCAGACTGGGGACTGCCAAGGGGAACACGCCGATATTTCAAAGTCTCCCTTTTCAGATTCCTACCGTTTTGTTATCAGCGCTTTCATTTCTTTTATGTTCTTCCTCTTTGCTTGCAGCCTACTGCTCTGATGCCGAAAGGGAGGCAGAAAGTGCCACACTTGGATGCCCCCCTGGGCCTGCCCACCTGTCTCTGGCTGGAATTAGCCGGGCTTTTCTTACTGGTTCCCTGGGTCATGTGCCTGGCAGGGACAAGTGGGCCTGATGCCCGGCATCCAGGGGGGCTAAGCTGGGCTGTTCATCTGCATAGCCTGGAAGGTGAGGGGGCAGAAGATACTCTGGAGCAGCAAGCAGATGCCTTGGCCCAGGCAGCAGGGCTGGTGAATGCTGGGCGCATCGGAGAGCTCCGGGGGCACTACCTCTTTGTCCAGCCAGCTGGACGCAGGCAGGCCCTGGAGGCGGACGCCATCCGGCAACAGGCGGAAGAAGTGTTGGCGAGGCATGAAACTGTGCGCTGGCACTCAGAGCAGAGGCTGCTAAAGCGGGCCAAGCGCAGCGTCCATTTCAATGACCCCAAGTACCCACAGCAATGGCACCTGGTGAGTCCAGCTCTGCAGTTGTCAGTTTCAGATGGATAGCTTCCATTCATTTCTTTCTTTCTTTCTTTTTTTTGAGACAGAGTCTTCCTCTGTCACCTGGGTAGAAATCATCACAGCTCACAGCAACCTGAAACTCTTAGGCTCAAGAGATCCTCTTGCCTCAGTCTCCCAAGTAACTGGGTCCACAGGCACCCACCACGATGCCTGGGTGTTTTTTTCTATTTTTGCTCTTGTTCAGGCTGGTCTTGAACTCCTGCAATCCACCACCTCAGCCTCCCAGAGTGGTAGGATTATGGGCCTGAGCCACGGTGCCTGGCCCCGTGCATTTCTTTTCTCTCTCTTTTTTTTTTTCGTAGAGACAGAGTCTCACTTTTTCATCCTCAGTAGAGTGCAGTGGAGTCGCTCCAGCAACCTCCAACTCCTGGGCTTAGGCGATTCTTCTGCCTCAGCCTCCCAAGTAGCTGGGACTACAGGTGCCCGCC